AATAGAAGCGAAGCTGAGAGGTAGGCAATCTCTTTTTCTGTTCGGCGTTATCGCAGCCTCACCATGCTGTACCTGGTACACTGGTCGATCTGCTGAGGTCAAGCCGGTATATCGTCCTTATGTACTCCACGATCCACATTCACCATCCCCCGAGTCCAGAGCTCTTTCTTACTGTCAGCCTAAATTTGCACTTTACCGGTTGCAATGGCATACTACTGACTCAGCACAAGCCTCAGTCCGTCAATGCAGTATACCGCAGTGGGCTCTCTGCGTGCATACGGTGATTAGCTTCTCGACCCTACCTTCCGACACATGTCCGACGAGGAGACACAGGATAGGGCTGCCTCGGTGGCCAGGGAGGCTGGTCGGCGCAGGGGCCATAGAGGCCCGATGCGGGCGTCCATGCGATCTCGCTCACGCTCAAGGAACTCGGATCCAGAGTCGGCGCCCGTGGCTGCAAGATCGGCTTTCCCGGCCCTCTCTGAGGTGCCGTCTTTTCGGCCTGATGCTTTCTCCTCGGCGCCTTCCTTGGCAGGAGAGATTCCTTTCACTGAGGCTTGGAGACTCATTCAGAGAGGCGAGCCAGCGGAGGACGTGGCGAGACACTATCGAGCGGGCACCTTGCAGGAGGCCTATGCGGGTCATTTCACCAGCACCGCCCTCCACGACGCCTGCCTCGACCCCTGCTGAAGCGTCGGAACGGGCGTTTCACGCACTGCTTCGGCCACCCCCGGGTGAGCCGACTCCCCAAGCTCGAGCTAGAATCATTGATGTTGATGTGCATGGGGATGGTGTCTACATTTCGCTATTCATACGCTTTGCTCGTCCTTAGGTGGTCCAGGCGAATGATAGGACAGCATGTTATGAAAAGACTTCAGCGCGATCTGCACTACTGCCTATCCATGCTGTCGTCTCAGAAAGCGCTTTTCCTCTTCAGTAGCTGGTGCATGCCAGAGTGCAATCCAGCCAGCTCGTGAGGCCATCACGGATTCTGGTGTTTGCCTCAGTCGGCCCTCTCGGGGTGCCGCCAAGAAACTGTGAGCACCTTTCCCCCTGGACTGCAGTCTCCCTCGGCACAGGCCCCCACATGGCAACTCGGGAGATCCCGAAGATCTGTGCTCCGTGGAAGCGACAGCCCGAGCCTCAAAGTACAGCTCTGCCTCTGTCTGGAGCATGGACCACAGCTCGCCTACATGCAGTGTGCTGCCGTAACATCTCAGAGGGCATTGCGTCTACCACTTGATGCCTCATGGTCTCAGGGTTGGTCCCATCCCGTTCCCTTCAGGTGTCGACGCTCTAGCAATCTACCTAGCAGAGTTGAGCTCAGTTCAGCACAGTCTGTACTCTGCAGGGCCATGCCGCCACGGCATCAGAAGCGCCGCACAGGGGGTCGAGCCCATTACCGGCCGGATGGCACTCGCCGAAGAACCCGGGGCGAGTTGGAAGCCCGAGCGAAAAAGAAAGCCGAACGTGCCGACCGTGCCAGAGAAGCAGAGGAATTGGAGGCGGCCCCTCTCGAGGAGGCCGAGCCTGATGCTGCCTGGCCAGAGGAACAAGAGGGCGCAGAGGAGGAGGAAGAGATTGAGATAGAGGTCGAGATTGAAGCCCAGGATGAAGCTGAGCGACGACCACCAGCGAGGCTCCGGCCGGCCCCCAATTGGGGAGCCGAACGCCCTGTCAACCGCGCCGGGCCTTGGGCTCCGGCAAGGCACAGGGAGCGGGAGTTTGAATCCCGCTCCCGCTCCCCTCGCCGCTTGGCCTCTCCAAAGCATTGACTCGCCTTCTTCGCCACCGTGCTGAGGCGGAGGGTCTGCACTTGCGACCCGATGGCTACTTTAGCCTGGATGACTTGGTCCAGACCAGGGAGATGCGGTCGTATCGCGCCCAGCCGGAGGAGCTCATCTACGTGGTCCGCACGGACGAAAAACAGAGATACACCCTACGCTATTTTGGAGGAGCTCCTTACCTTCGGGCTGCGCAGGGACATTCCCAGTACGTCAGCAAGAACCACCTGATGACGAGAATGCGACGTAGGGATTTGCCGCCGTTCCTTTATCATGGTACGAGAGCTCGCAACTATCGTTCCATCGTGAGGCAAGGTCTTCTGGCTGGCGGCCCCACTGGGAGCCGAACTGATGTACACCTTGTCGAGCACCTCCCGAGCTCGGGTCAGCGGGTAGTGTCGGGGTGGCGATCAGACTGCGAAATCGCAGTCCAGGTAGCCCCTCAGGCGGCGGATTCTGGTGGCTGTGTTTTCTACCGCAGCGACAATGGAGTATACTTGACTGAAGGGGTAAGGGGCTCAATCCCGCCCCGGTATATCTCTGCTGTGGTGGTCCTACGCACCGGCGAGGTTATCACGTCTCCCACTGAAGGGACGGCCCCCTCAGGGGAAGCCGTTGAAGCTGGACTTCGCAGAGCGCGTCGTGCATACATGAGAGTTGCCTGCGCTGCAGACTCCCCATCCCATGCATGGCAGATGAGTACTCCGTTTCACAGCTGGTCTGCTCAGGTCACCATTGGTCTCTTCGGGTGGCTGGCTCGGTCCCTCATGCCTGCTGGGGAGCCGCTAGTTGTCCTGACTGGGTGTAGGTGGGGGAAGGTACTCAGACACATGCTGGTCTCCATCCTCCTGAGTTGCTCTTCTTTGCAGGACCTATGTTACCAAGCGGGACACCGCCTGTGTCTCTGCATTGTTCGGCCCTACTGGGAGCCGGTGACTCAGGACCATGTTTGCAGCCCACATCCTCAGGTCATTACGCACCCTTCAAGCATCAACTGGTGGCTGTCGACTTCATGGCCAGCCGGGCTCTCAGTGGGCTGTGCTGCTATTTTGATATCTCCACGCACCCCTCTAGTGTGCGCTCGGGCACATGTTGACCGGCCGTGGCTGCCGCTCTGCAATTACAAACCACCCGGTAGCCGTGTTGCCTCGAGCTTCCGCGGAAGTCAGCGAGTGTAGTCTGTGTGGCGGCCCCGCTGGGTGCCGTGCAGTCTGGCATGTCGCGCACGCCTGACTCTGATATCTCTGGTCTTTGGTCTCCAGGTGATGACTCTGAGGATCTTGTCCCCTCGCCTGCGAGGGCAGCACCATCCCCGGAAGCCGCACCTGTACGTCCCCCATCAGGTACTCCAGTCGGGGATCTCCTTGGACGAGTGCTACGTAAGGCGAACTATGCCCCGGAGATCCTCCAGGCTGTGGAGCACATTCCGGACCCGGTCAGACCTGAGAGACCTGAGGAACCGACTTCACCTCCCTCAGAGGCTCTTGCATCGACTAGCTCCCACACAAGGCGAAACAAGCGACCACGAAGCAGAGCCAGACCCTCCATGGCGCCGCACTTAAACTCTGTCGATGTAGGCGACCGAGCTCGTTGCCGTGAAGAAGTAGAGGCTGATCCTGGGTTGGCTATTGCGGCCCCCACTGGGGTGCCGGAAACCGCCCTGCCAGCTAGACTTACGTCGGCGGGACACCAACAAGTGGACTGGGTGGATCACGAAGTATTTCAATACGATCCGGACATTCATCGTCTTCCAGAGGTCGCCTCGGCGTCCTCCCACGACACCAGGAGCCCGTCTCGTCTTGATCGTCAGCCGGGCCGTGCGTGTGCCAAAATGCTAGTGCGAGCCGGACATCGCTGCCCTACCTGCTTTCACCTGACCACGGCCTGCCAGTGTCGAAGAGAGAAAGTCAGCCGTTGTCTCTTCTCTCTAGGCCGCATCTACTCCCACCTCATCCCCAACCAGTGTCTGCCTTTGCTTTCAATGTCTCAGGCCGAGCCACCCCCACACCTTTTCAGGCTGGGGCAGTGCACCTTCTGTGGTATTGGCCCCTCCATGCGTGTTCTTGTCACAGAACAGCACAGCCTGAGCTATCCACATCCATGTCAATGGCAGGTCCTCTACCGTGACTTTTCACGACGACAACGCCGTCGATCCCTTCGAAGACGTGTGCCTTGGTCTCCAGCCTCAGACCTTGTATGGCATGTTGTCAGCGGGTTTGGCCGATGGTTTGCTCCCTGCAGTTTTTCGGCCACCATGAGCTCCCACCGCCCAGGGCGGGCCTAGGCAGCACAATAGGCCCGATGGATCCAGACGGAGGACAGCAGGAGAACTGGCGAAGCGCGCGGCAAGAGCAGCGGCGCGTGCAGCTGCAGATCAGGCTGCGCTAGATGCCGGTGCTGCTGGAGATCGGACCACGGCTCCTGACCCGACCTCCGGTCCCGCATCGTCTTCTGGTCAAAGTGCTGAGCCTAAGCAGGTGTCGGTCTCAGCGGCCCGCAAGGGGGTGCCGGACCTCTCTACCACGACCAAACCTGGTGCTGCGACACAAGGTACTTCAGCTGGAGCTTACCCTGCAGCCAAGGCTCAGGCTAACCCGGCTGGTCCGGTGCAGCCTCCCCTGCGCGGCTTTCTCAACCTGCCACGACAGCTTCTCAGCAGGGTATGGCTGCAGGGCCTGGCCCCGCATCCCAGAAGCCAAGCAGCGGCGGAACAAAGGTTTGGGTACCCACTTTGCGGATGAAGGCGCCTCCACCACACCTTCTCCAGGAGGAGCCGGCTGGCGATGCTTCTCTCAACCGCCACCACCTCCCCCACCCAAGCGCTCGGCAGCAGTCCTGGCGGCAGAGGAGGAGGAGCACAGGTCGGTCCCTGCGGCCCCCACTGGGGAGCTGGCTCAGAAGGCAATTCCAGTGACAGCGCCAACAGCACAGGTTTCCCGCAGGAGAGCCAAACGGAGCCGCACTCAGCCCCCGCGGCCGGTACCGGATGAGGTACTGGCCGCGGAGAAGTGGACACAGATGGCTGATCTGGAAAGGCGGGTCACGGACATTCAGGACGCCGAGGTCCTGGCCATGCTCAACTGGCGGCGCATTAAAAAACCTCGCAGCATGGACCCTTCCATGACCTTCGTGATGCTCTCCAGCGAGACCAAGTGTGCGGCCCCTTCGGGGAGCCGTTGCCCCTCCCCCCAGTTGGCAATTGGATACTCGCACTAGGTGTATCGCTCCTCGGGCTCGACTCTCCAGATGGGCAGGAGTTGTTCTCCCGAATTGCAAACCATCAGACTGCGGGCGATCTGGTTGAGGCGTGGTCTCTCCAACTCTGGGAGCGTGGCTATCGGTCCTTGTGCGAGCAGCTGTCGGGGTACTTTTTACTACACAATGTCCTGACCGACATCCCGCCTAGATTCTACACTGCTCTGGGTCAGGAATGGCGCATCACGTGGGCTGAGTTTAAGAATGTCATGAGGGCCTGGCTAGGTGATTCACCAGCCCCGGCACTACCTGCCCTTGATCAAGTACCTGCGGTAAGTGTTGAACCGGGCCCTCCTGGGCGACTATCGGAGCTTCTGAGGGCCCGCTCCCTCTCGCCGAGAGACGGCCCCCTGTTGGGGCGCCGAACTGATTTAATCGACGGTGCAACAGATGCACGTGTCTTTCCTACGATTCTTTTGCCTTACACTTTTCCTGCCTTCCAAGTCGGATCGGCTTCACCTCTGCAGCTTCAAGACCAGCCTGAGTGTGCCTATATGGCTGCCCGGTCTACACTGTATGCAGCTCTTCTGCTTATCAGCTGTATCCTTCTTTCGCTGCTCAGCTGTCTGCACCGGTGTACCACTCACCTCTTCAGCCGTTATCTCTGGTGTGCTGCCCGGTACCCAGGCACTTGGGCATCAGCGAGCTCCTCTGCAGCCCGCCGAGCTCACGATGTGCCACAACTTAGGCTGTGCCTTCGTCCCTTCCAGACTCTTTGTCGACGATTTCTGTTTCTGCTCTGTGTAGGGTGCCTTCTCCAAAACGGGACATGCACTCGGACTGGCTCAGGATCAGGGGACGTGCCCACCATCGCGGGGCAGGAGTCTACCCAGCCCCACGTGCAAAATCTGCATGCCACAGGTCGTCTTCCGCCAGCAGCTGTGGAGAGGACTCGCCTTCCCCGCAAACGAGCTCTACGGAGAGCCATTGGTCGAGCTGCCCGCAACCCGGCTCGCTCCACTCACTACAAGGGGCGTCTGTGTACCTTCGACAATCTTAGGGGTCTCCCGGCAGGTCCTGGCCCCCGGCCCGCAGAGCGGAGCCGGCCTGGAGACGCTGACATCAAGCACGGCCCTCGGCTTCGAGCTATGTCGTGGAACGTAGGTGGCCTCTCACAGGAGGCGTGGCTAGAGGTGCAGATCTGGCTGCATGAGCAGGAGGAGCATGATGTCATTTTGCTTCAGGAGACCCATTGGCGGTTTACCAGCTCGTGGAGCCTTCCACGCTATCACATTTTTCATAGTGGCGCGACAGACCACCGATTCCAGGGCTGTATGACTGTAATAAGTAAGTCGGTCACCTCGTTTGAATCCGTCCGTTGGTCTGCTCCTCTTGTCGGTCATCTCTTGCACGTCCGTTTTCCGGTAAAGGGCCGACATGTGGACGTTATCAATCTTTATCAGTATGCAATGCACACCGGCCCCGATAGGGCAGCCGTCCTTCACAAGAGGGAGAGAGTCTTGCATCATCTCGACAAAACCCTCTCCTCCTTACCCATCAGGAATGTCCTTCTGGTCGGGGGCGACTTCAACTCCATGGGCACCCGAGACTCCATGCCCTTTGGACCTGGCACGTATTTAGGACCCAACCCCCATCCTGATAGACAGCTCCTTGCCAATCTTGCGAACACCCATCGTCTTACGGCCCTAAATACCTGGAGCCGTGTCAGCAAGGCTGCCACGTTTGAAAATGATCAAGCTCGTAGTCAAATCGACTTCTTCTTTGCGCGTACTGCGCAAATTGATGGGCGCTCGAGGTGTGCTTGCACGGACCCCTTGTTTCATCTTCTGCGCCGGCGTGGAGGTGCCCGTCACTACCCCTTACATGTGTCTATTCCGGCGGTTCACTATCAATCGCCTGCTAAGGTGTCAGGAGAATCTCTGGCCCGCGCGCCGACTTACCAGCTAACTCCGCCTCCGGAGCGCGTACAGGCGTTTTGTGAGCACCTGGCAAGCATCCTTTCTGCCCCGAGCGAGCCATCAGAACTTGATCATGCTTTGCAACAGGCGGCGGCCAAGCACCTGCTTCCTGTCCAGCCGAGGGCTCATGGTGATTCCGTCTTAACAAGGGTCACTGGTATGGTAAAGCAGATGTGGAACCTCAGGCATACGGCCCAGCAATTTGCCCTGGAGGTCCTACGACCCTTCACCATCGTCGCGCAAATTCGGCACTGGCGAGGCACTGGGGAGCGTCTCTGGTATACGCTTGGGCAATTGCTCTCTGCCTGGAGACACCAGGCTGCTTACCTGAGACAGCATCGCCATCTCAGGCGCAGGGGACGTCAAGCGAAGAAGGAGCTCTTGGAGGAACAGCTCCAGCAGGCGTGGGAGGCGGACCGACAAGGCGATAAGTCCTCCATTTGGAAGGTAGTGAACAAGTTAGCTCCGCGCACGGCGAGGGTGAAGATCCAATTACGTGGGGACAAGGGAGGCTTGCTCACACCAGTTGAGGAGGCTGAGCGGCTTAGAACTTACTGCGAAAAAATCTATAAATTACCGCCACCTCAACATTCTGATTCCATGGCCACACCTTCTCTTGTGTCATCACCCTCACCACCGGATGGCGCACACCCTGCCTCTTCGCTCGATACTCTGCCTGCCGTGCAACCTCCCGATTACGCCTCTGATGCGCTGGTTGCCCTCCAGCCCGCTCCCGGCCCTCTTGAGGTGCCGCACCTTACGGAGGCGTTGTCATTGCTACCGGCGCGCAAAGCCACTCCGCCTCATCTTGCGCAGCTCCATCTGTGGCATCTGGGTAAAGAGGCTCTTCTCCCGCATCTCGCTACTCTCTGCAAACGACTCTGGCGATCACCTCACCAGTTCCATCAGCTCTGGGCAGATGCCTGGATCGCGTGGCTTGCAAAGCCCGGCAAGGCCCCGGACCAGCCCGAGAACTTGCGGCCTATCTCCCTCACTGAGGGAGGAGGCCGTATAGTCGTTAAGGCACTCACTCTCCACCTGCGTCCGTCCCTCACCGAGGCGACGTGGTCCTGGCCACAGTACGCTTATGTACCAGGACGTAGCATTGAACATGCGATAGTCCGCGCTCTGCATCACTGTAGCCGTGTTCAAGCTGCCATCGCGTCCCAGCGTGTCACCCTGCAGGAGCGAAGGACCACTGGACGCACTCCCACCACCTGTCAAGGAGGAGTCACATTGTCTATCGACACCAGCAAAGCGTTTGACACAGTCGATAGAGGTGTTCTTGAACAGGAGCTTAAAACGGCCCGCATTCCGGAGCCGGAACTCACTCTAATTATGTCCTTGCATCAAAACATTGGATATTGGCCGGCAGGCCCCGGGTCCGATGTCCGAGTCTCTAGTGAGAGAGGAGTGCGACAAGGTTGTCCTCTTGCCCCGAGTCTATGGACGCTTGTCACGGTTGCTCTACTCCGTGCTATGGCGGGCGCTGATTCTCTTGCCTGGATACAGGATGACACAACCATGTTCGCGGATGACCTCCTTCTCCAATGGGAGTATACTAGTATCCCGGAACTTGAGCGTATGCTCTCTACCATCCAAGAATGCTTTCGGGTGCTTGCGCGTCTAGGCCTTCAGGTACAACACCGCAAAACTCAGCTGCTAGTAGCCCACAAAGGTCGCCTGGCGCATCGATGGTGGCAGATGCACACGGCCTCCACAACGGAGGGCCGGTTTCTTCGCATTCCACAGCCGAATCAAAAGGACTTGCGACTTCCCATTGTCACCCAACTCACCTACCTAGGCATCGTCCTTTGATATAAGGATGCAGCCACCGCTACCGTGGAGCACCGTCTTCAGGTGGCCGAGGCCCAACGTGCTCGCCTCCTCAAAGTGCTGCACTCGCGTACCCTCCCTCTACGCAAACGAGTGCAGCTCTGGGTGGCGTGTGTTCGTAGCTCGGCCTTATATGGCCTACACCTGTTGGACCTGCAGCACAAGCATGTCGCACGAATCACCATTGTCCTTGTCAGGCACTTGAGGGCTATTTCTCGGAGCTTTGCTCATATGTCGCAGGAATCCAGTCAGGCCTTGCTCCTTAGACTGGGCGTGGAGGATCCGCTGCCACTCCTGCTGCGCAGCGGCCAGAAGCTCCTGACCAAAACCCTCCAATCACAGGATCCTATGGTGCACCGGCCACGCATACTGCAGTGGATCACGCATATCACGGAGACTCGGCTAGCGTTGGACTCGCATGTTGCCCAGGTGTTCCCACCCAATGTCGAGTCAGTTTCTGCTGAGACGGTGATAGCTGGTGAGGTCACTGAGTCTCTTCGAGTCGCCTCGCTCCCTGGTCCTCTTGTAGGAACCCGGCAGGGTGCTCAGGTGTCGGGGCAGCACGGTCCCAGATCAGCCACGTTGTCCTGTCCCACGTGTCATCTCTGGTTTCCGGTCGAAGCCCTCAAAAGGCACCATGCTAAGCACCACGCCTCCCCGGTGGTGCCTCCCCATCCCACTGCTGATGCAGCAGAAATTCGGCAACACAGCGTGAATGGTATGCCGGTCTGTAGGCATTGTGGAAAGGACTACGTTACGTGGTTTAATCTCAAGCGGCACATACAGAAAGGGCACTGTGTAAAGCGTTGGCAAAGTGCACTGACTTCTCAACAGAAGTCCACCATTGAGCCTGTCTCTGAAAGCACGAGCATCGTGCTGCCCGCCATCCAGGTGCAGCAGCCTGAACCAGCTCTTCAAGACACTGACCCGGCTGCCGCGGCCCCTGTTTTGGGTGAGCCGATTCCAGCGGGGAGTCCTTCTCCCGGAGGCCCTCTCCTCAGTGCGATGCCACCTGTCTCCCCAGCTCAATGGCTCCAATTTGCCAGACGCGCCGAGGTACGAGAAACGTTGCCACACTTCTGTGCGACGTGTGGGCAATGGCTGGTGTCAGTGAAGAGCATTAAGCTACATTATAGACCCGTCCATGGGGACATCTATAAGCGTTTTTGCCAGACTACTGCCGCTGATTGTAGAAAAGTGGGTCACCTCATATCGCCATGTGTGTACTGTGGAGCCACCATCACACGAACGGACCAGCATTCTTGTACTTGTCCAGTGCTCTGGCAAGCACATGTCTGTTGTTTGGTACAGGCGGACCTTGCATCAAAACGCATCGCCGAGCCGGCACCTGCCCTCAGCTCTACTCTGCGCAGCCATGGAGCATGTGCCCACACAGATGGATCTGGACGAGGAAGAGAGGCAGTGCTTCGGGAACCTCCTAGGGAAGCGAGCTCGGGGTGGAGTCGCCGAACAAGTACCCTCATCCCCTGGGGAAGGGTGTCCCACCGCAGGGAGGTGGCCGACCTCGCCAGTTTCAGCCGAACCGCGGTCCCCGCCAGGCGGCCCCCTCACAGGGGAGCCGAAGCAAGGAGGAAAACCGAGGACGATCGGGGACTTCTTCGGACGCGCTGCTGCACAAGATAGCCAAGGCACTCATAGTCCAATCGGACTACATGTCGCGTCTCCAAGGCGACCATACGGTCATCTTCACGTTTCGGAACGGCGACGGCCCTCAGTTGATGGTGCCGCTACTTCACGAAGTTGCAGCAAATTGGCGAGATCAGCGAAGCAAGGGCAAAGTTACCAAGTCCCTCAAGCAAACTCTGCTCCAGTACGTGACAGCGGAAATCACAGGAGATGGGAGGGTGACAAGCGACTTGGAATACAATTACCTCGATTGGAGTGCCGAGGAGCAGAGACTCGTCCCTCGTCAAGAGGGGACGCTCACGCAGGACCAGGTCCTGGCCGATGCTCGGCGCCTCAAAGCTCTTCTGAAGCAGCAGGAGCTGATTCTCAAATTCTCGGCGGCTCGGAACGCTCAGCCGGACTCCACCTCGGAGACGGCAACATTTGTCCTGGAACTCTCGATGCAGATCCCGGAAGTGGCCGAGGTAATGTCCATCTTCCGGAAGTGGTTCGCGTCGTCGGCTCTTCTACTTCTGTCACTCCGTCTCAAGCCGGCCCGCCCGGAGCGGTCGCCGTTGATCAAGGAGATTCAGGAGGCGGTGGGATGGTGACAGGTCCGAACCTTACATTCTCATATGTACCTGCCATGTCTAGCTCCTTAGCTGCCATTGTCTTGCAGAATCCTGGAAATCACTGCTATCTTAATTCCGTGGTGTACTTACTTGCTTATGCATGCTCTATACATGCGCCACACGGCCCCCCCAGGGGTGCCACTGCACTCGAGCATGCCTTGAGCTCTACCATCTCGGCTCAGGCATAAGCACACCACGAGGGGAGCAGATGATTGCCAACATGTCTGCATGGAGGTCGCTACTTGGGGAGTGGCAGCACATGCATCGCCAGCAAGACTGCATGGAGCTTTTGCATCACCTGCTGGAACGCCATCCCCTGCCGTTCGCCACCTGTCGCTGGGAGGCCAGACCCGTTCCTGGTACAGCTGCCGCTCGTCGGCCTCTCATATGCGGCACTACCTACGTGGACATACCTCTCCCGAGACGTGCACATGCAACCCTTCAGGAGTGTGTTGTGCAGTGGCATGAACAGAAGATACCACATGGCTTGGTAGTTGCCCCTCCAATCCTGTTTGTTAGCCTGGCGCGCTATGCCAGCATGACCCGAGGCAAAAATCCGATCAGACTGCCATGCAAGGCCATGCAAAA